AGGATACTGTATTTGTAATTATGTACAAATAAAAGTCAAGTCATATCTAGTCAGAGAATACTGTATATGTAATTATGTACAAATCAAAGTCAAGTCATATCTAGTCAGAGAATACTGTATATGTAATTACGCATAAATAAAAGTCAAGTCATATCTAGTCAGATGATACTCTATTTGTAATTACGTATAAATAAAAGTCAAGTCATATCTAGTCAGAGGATACTATATTTGTAATTATGTACATATAAAAGTCAAGTCATATCTAGTCAGATGATACTGTATATGTAATTATGTACAAATAAAAGTCAAGTCATATCTAATCAGAGAATACTGTATTTGTAATTATGTACAAATAAAAGTCGAGTCATATCTAGTCAGAGGATACTGTATTTGTAATTATGTGTAAATAAAAGTCAAGTCATATCTAGTCAGAGGATAATGTTTTTTTTATTACGTTGTATAACGTAACAGTATATACAGTATATATCGTTTTGTTCATCACTTTAATAATCAATGATTACACGTTATGAAAGAAAACCTCATGAAACCGTCCATTTGTACAACAGACGTTTATGTATGTGACTACTCACAAAGAGGAGAATGAATGTACAGAGAGATGACCAGGTAGATAAGATAAGAGCTGCCATCATCTGAACACCTAACAGGTAGAAACCTCCCCCGTGTATCAGGCCGCTTCGCCCGAGCGTGAGGTTCTCCAAGTGATCATTCTCCGTGAACAAACCCACTACCATCAGACCCTGAAAAGTGAGAAGCAGCGTTAGGTATAAGAACAATAAAAGTATCTCCAGTATCTAGATTCAGTTTTACCTGTACCAATAGCATCATCCTCGATACGGGACTAGTTTAATCATTTGACATAGCAGCAAAATATTCTCGCGGTCGCGTAACAGTAAAATTGATTGGCTTTTAAGTCGATCATCGCTCTTCTGTTATTTTCAAATGACATGTATTTGCCTAGCGATTGGTCAATCAAATAGCTAACTGCGTGCCTTTATTTTTGCTATGAGCTATTCGGGGGGTGCAGAGAGCAAAAGTGTGCGTAACCTCTTATGTGTGCCTCTAACTGAAAGTGCCATCTAAAATGTACCACTAACGGAACTGAAAAATTCATCTTGAATTCATTTACGATTTTCTATTATAAACATCATACTGATCAATTAGGGCTATCTCTTAATTGTGTTATTATGCAGAAACTGGAACACTGGTAGGGATGTTTAAGCATGTCAAATATGTTTTTGCTTGGTGCATGCACAGGCTTTCAAAAATTGAAACATGTTGAGTTAATTTCCTTAAAAATGGCGAGTTTTCAACTAAATAGATCACAACAGACGATACTCGCGTATTTATTATGAAAATACGGGTTTATGTCTATCTTTTTAATGCCATATCTCCTAAACCAGTTGTAATATGAAATTGAAACCCGATGAGGTAAGAAACGCCCTTTAACACCCAAAATCATTTACCCCTCACAGAACTGAAAATGCCATCTAAAATGTGCCCCTAACGGAACTGAGAGTGCCATCTAAAATGTGCCCCTAACAGAACTGAAAGTGCCATCTAAAATATGCCCATAATGGAACTGAAAGTGCCATCTAAAATATGCCCATAATGGAACTGAAAGTGCAATCTAAAATATGCCCCTAATGGAACTGAAAGTGCCATCTAAAATGTACCCCTAGCGAAATTGAAATTGCCATCTATAATGTGCTCCTTATGGAACTGAAAGTGCCATCTAAAATATGCCCCTAGCGAAATTGAAATTGCCATCTACAATGTGCTCCTTATGCAACTGAAAGTGCCATTTACAATTTACCTCTGACGGAACTGAAGTGCCATCTAAATTCTGCCCCTCACGGAACTGAAAGTGCAATCTCAAATGTGTCCCTCACGGTACTTAAAGTGACATCTTAAATATACCCCTAACGGAACTGAAAGTACCATCTAAAATACACCCCTCATTGAACTGAAAGCGCCATCTAAATTGTGCCCCTCATAAAACTGAAAGTGCAATCTAAAATTTACCCCTAACGGAACAAAAAGTGCCATCTAAAATGTACCCCTAACGGAACTTAAAAGTGCCATCTAAAATATGCCCCTAACGGAACTGAAAGCGCCATCGAAAATGTGCCCCTCACGGAAATGAAAGTACCATATAGAATGTTCACCTTACGGGACTGAAAGTGCCATCTGAAATATACCTCTTACGGAACTGAAAGTGCCATCTGAAATATAACCCTAACGAAGCTGAAAGTGCAATCTTAAAATGTACCAATAACGGAACTGAAAGTGCCATCTGAAATATATCCCTAACGGAACTGAAAGTGCCATCTATAATGTATCCCTAACGGAACTGAAAGTGCCATCTGAAATGTATCCCTAACGGAACTGAAAGTGCCATCTAAAATGTATCATTAACGGAACTGAAAGTGCCATCTAAAATGTATCCTTAACGAAACTGAAAGTGCCATCTGAAATATAACCCTAACGGAACTGAATGTGCCATCTAAAATGTACCTCTCACGAAAATGAAAGTGCCATAGAAATGTACCCCTAACGGAAATGGAATTGCCATCCAAAATGTGTCCCTTCCTGTACTGAAAGTGCCATCTAAAAGTACTAACTCACAAGTGCCCATAGTTGAAATATACATCTTATATATCTATAAGTTAGATTTAAATGTTAAATGTACCTCAAGCTTAAAGTGCTATTTTAAATATACCTCCAACCTTAAAATGTTATTTGTAAAGTACATGTACATAATACTTTACACATGGATCTCAGACTAATACAATTTTACACGTACACAATGTACATTTAAGTACAATTTTACACGTACACAATGTACATTTAAGTACAATGTTACACGAACACAATGTACATTTAAGTACAATTTTACACGTACACAATGTACATTTAAGTACAATTTTACACGTACCAAACGAAAGAACAATTTTTTCCTTTATTTGTAACTTATATTGAAACTTTAATCTTGCATCAATCTTCAGGAACCAAGCAATCAAGTTAAGATTACTTATGGACTATTGATTAATAAATAAACAACACTAATGGCGATACATAAAACCACATTACACATACAGCGCAACGACTGAACTATTCGTGGATGTGACGTTTCGATGACTAGTATGATAAATACTCTGTAACCTTCATCCGATAACATCTTAATCCGATGAAGGTGACAGAGTACATATCATACTAGCCATGATAATGTCACACATTTTGAAGGTTGTGTTACATATATATGATTCTGTATATAATCTATATTAACCTACTTTAAGAAATGTTTAGAAATAAATTATAATGTTAGAAATTTTGTTTAAAATGTATCTGAAATGATGATAATCACATAATTATATAACAGGAATTTTACCCATATTCCGACGACACCATGGACAGACACGGCGCCCACTGGATCATCCACGTGCAGCCAGTTGAAGAACTTAGGCGCGTGGATGGCGATGAATCCCCCTACGGCTCCTGCGATAAGGGCCTCCCATGGTCTAATGATGGCACAGGCAGCTTATTAATATGAAAAACAGATGTGATCAGTGGGTTAAACAATTTTGTGTCTTACATAAACAATGCAAATGTAGGAAACCACAAAGTACTATGAACTTTCACGGGCTAATTGACTCTTGCTTCTGTTTTAATCCTAAATTCGAACATGAAAATAATTGCTCCAGCCCAGACGGATGCGCCTTTCCCCTGATATCAAATGTAGAATTAAGTCACTCTCTTACATTTGACAACAGGTGCATACTATTATTACGAGATTAAATCATTTTTATCAATGTGACGAATTTTATCTCAACCATTGCTTTTACCACCTTGGTTATATAGTGCATTTATCATCTGTATACTACTTTAAACCACCAACCGGTAGCATGATTAATTCATTATCAGGGGTTGTCAGTATGAGAATACTCAAGAAGAAGTTGAGAAAGATTTAAGGACGGTTTTTCAATTTCCGAGCATTTGGGAACGTATTTTCTCAAAAAAAAAAGAACGTCTACTCGCGCCATTGGTCCGAATTATTCTGACGTTTTATCGACTTTTTTCATATCGGTCTGTCGTCGATTAACGTCAGAACTCCGGCCCTCTATAATATGCGGGAAATATGCGACCTGCCCCCTGAGCGCACTTCAAACTGATATTTTAGAAACAAATCGTCACTTTCGCACACATGTCGCACATGGATCGAAAGAACGATATATGAAATATTGCTTTTAATACAAAATTATATGTTTGGCAAATAGAAAGCGTATATGATAATATTTTTAGGAGAAATTAAAATAGCTATTTCATTTGAAAAATATCCGATAGGTTTCCTCGAATTATATAAATAATATCAGATGGGTTTCCTAAAATTATATAAATAATATCTGATAGGTTTCCTAGAATTATATATATAGTATCCGACAGGTTTCCTAGAATTATAAAAATAATATCAGATAGGTTTCCTAGAACAATATAAATAATATCTGATAGGTTTTCTAGAATTATATAAATAATATTTGATAGGTTTCCTAGAATAATATAAATAAAATCAGATGGGTTTCCTAGAGTTATATAAATAATATCTGATAGGTGTCCTAGAATTATATATATAAAATCCGACAGGTTTCCCTGAATAATATAAATAATATCAGATGGGTTTCCTAGAATTATATAAATAATATCTGATAGGTTTCCTAGAATAATATAAATAATATCTAAAAGGTTTTCTAGAATTATATAAATAATATCGGATGGGTTTCCTAGAATAATATAAATAATATCTAATAGGTTTTCTAGAATTATATAAATGATATCTGATAGGTTTCCTAGAATAATATAAATAATATCTAAAAGGTTTTCTAGAATGATATAAATAATATTTGGTAGGTTTCGTAGAATAATATAAATAGTATCAGATGGGTTACCTAGAATAATATAAATAATATCAGATGGGTTTTCTAGAGTTACATAAATAATATCTGATAGGTGTCCTAGAATTATATATATAAAATCCGACAGGTTTCCTAGAATAATATAAATAATATCAGATGGGTTTCCTAGAATGATATAAATAATATCTAATAGGTTTTCTAGAATTATATAAATGATATCTGATAGGTTTCCTAGAATAATATAAATAATATCTAAAAGGTTTTCTAGAATGATATAAATAATATTTGGTAGGTTTCGTAGAATAATATAAATAGTATCAGATGGGTTACCTAGAATAATATAAATAATATCTGATAGGTTTTCTAGAATTATATAAATAATAACGGATGGGTTTCCTAGAACAATATAAATAATATCTGATAGGTTTCCTAGAATTATATATATACTATCCAAAAGGTTTCCTAGAATGATATAAATAATATCAGATGGGTTTCCTAGAATTATATAAATAATATCTGATAGGTTTCCTAGAATTATATACATAATATCCGACATGTTTCCTAGAATAATATAAATAATATCAGATGGGTTTCCTAGAATAATATAAATAATATCAAATGGGTTTCCTAGAATTATATAAATTATATCTGATAGGTTTCCTAGAATTATATATATAATATCCGACAGGTTTCCTAGAATAATATAAATAATATCTGATAGGTTTCCTAGAATTATATATATAGTATCCGACAGGTTTCCTAGAATTACCTGTTATTGACACGAGTCCTCCGAGGATACTGTTAACAATGTATTCGATTTCAAACTTTCGTTTTCTTGTTATGTAACTGTAAAGAAAATATCTAATTATAAAAGAAAGCACAGGGTAAACAGTAAACAGACAGGTAGCAAAATAATGTTTATTAATACATAATGGTCATCGTCAATATCGCTATGTAAGATATTTATGAAAAATTATCTACTCAATAAAAAAGGTCACGTTAAATATATATATTTACTTAATTTTGCATAATAGTTGTTCAAAAGCTATCTTCAATCTTGTTAATTAATCTATATTTATCCAGTAAAAAAATCAACTATTCCTCCTGAATAAAACATTTATGTTGATATAACTATTGTCAATCTTGCTATATTAATGTAAGATACATGTATATATAATAGTTGTGAAATAGCTATCGTTAATCTCGCTAATAAGATATATATACTAAGTAATAAAAGAAAAGATAACACATCCCCTTAAGATTTTTTTTTATATTGATTTAAAAAAAAATAATAGTATTACATGTACAATAAGTATATATCATATGATTATGTAGTATAAATAATAATAATCCTACCATATAAGAGCATTTACCACTAGATATGTTATAATTCATTAAGATTGATATATACTATAGGTGTAAACTTACCTGTAATATAATTTATAGGTCATCTACCTCTATTTATATACTATTATAAATTTACCTGAAATGTTATATATGTAAACTTACCTGGTTTATATATCATAGTTCATTTACCTTTGGAATTTATATTATATTCGTTTACCTGTACTGTATAATATAGTTCATTTATACTAAATATATTTTAACTTAAATAATAGAATACATCGTACTGTTTGTATATCTGTGAAATTTACCAAATTTAGCTTACATATTGAATATTCAATGGTACATTGATGATATTTCATGGTTTCCCTTCGAATACCATATCTGTTTCAGAATGGCAGAATTCAAATATTTGCTCGAGTGAGGAGTACGAGTGAACGTATTGGTATACTCAAACGAGAGAAAAAACATTTCAAAGTACATACTACGAGAAAAATGTTACCAAACCAAACGAATGTGTGCATTAATAGCGTGATTTTAGTGACGTCACGCTTGTGAGTAAGGCCTTATGCTACTGAACGATTCCTACCATTTTCTGTTTTCATCCTGTAATGATTCTAAAATGTGCGTTTGAGCTAATATCTCTGTTTCCGTAGCAAAGATTTACCGAAATAACATTTTTTTTCTAATGTCGCTTACTCTGCATCTTACCAAACACAATAGCGGTCTTGAATGCAGTGATTCGAAAATAACGTTCTGATTGGTCCATACCAAAGTGACATCTTTACACGTGACGGACATTCCTTTGGTGTCTATTACAATGTAAATGTATCGAATAGAATCCGAAATATCGTTGTCATATATATAAAAAAAATAGATCCATACTGTGTCACCAGTTGTGTTGCTATCAAAATGAAAAGCTCATTATCGTACAGCTTTTAAGCCTCTGTTTACTATATCTCTATTTGTTTGAAAGAAATCTAATTAAAAAATTATCCAGTGCTAATTTACCTGGTAGTAATTCCTATCACACCTCCGCCAATAGATCCACATAGGGTTACAACGGCAGATCTGTCAAATATAAAAGTAAGAAACATATACTCTATCGTCAACACACGAAGACAAATAATCTTCATATTAAATACGAAGTTAGCAAACATACAAAATAAATCACATAATCGATGCAGAACGCCAAACAAAATAAACGTTTCGTGTGCCATATAACCTTTTAATCAATTTAGGACCCATTTTGGCTAATAAAGTTAAAAAGAAAAAACCTCCACATTTCAAGTTTACGTTGCATATATGAAATTAAAACAGAAGGAGAACGACGACTTTCAAAGCCCGTATAACGTTACAAATCAACAACTTGTGACTACAATGGATAGTTAATTTTTAATTCGCGTTTAAAATTATATAAAAGGCTTTACACAAAATCACTAATCAAACCACACAAATTCGGTACGAAAAGACAACAACTGGAATCGATGAAACACCAGAACAAAGAGACATTATAAAACCTAAAACAAAAACAGGAATCGTGACTGCTTTCTGCAACCAATGTTGGACCCGTCATGTTAATGATCTGACACATGTTTCAGGGAGCCATGCTAAAATAACATAATTATCATGATAGAGCTACGTACATCATGTGTACATGTTGTCATATAGATTAAAAAATATATATAAGTCTCTAGTTTGTGATCTCGAATGAACAAATGGTAATGAAATCATATTTTACCAAAATAACTCATTTAAACGTTTATTTGATCGTGTAAAATATATAAGCTTTTTGGTTGTCACTAGGATATTAAAGAATCCTGTATTTACAAACCTTTTAGAAGATTGGACTCAATAACAACCCAATACACTAGGTATCCCTTCAGAAGGATTCAGAGAGAGGAGTCATTCACGGGAATGTCATTGTATAAATACACAACTTAGGTTCTGCTTCCAGTTAGTGTTACGTTAGTGTTGTATGCGGCATCTTTGCCCAAACAAAGATAGTGATGAAGGTAATGGTCAAGATTCTTAGGTGAGTTCACTATGCATTCACATTTTGGCTATATGTGTAGCGGAACTAGACTGGGTCGATCATCGGCGATCAGGTAGCTCAATTGGTCCGTCTAGAGTTCGGAGGGTCCCGGGTTCGAACCCCGGTCTGGCCGTTACATTTACTCTTTCTCCTGTTACATATGTTTACATATATACAGTTATAAGATACTTTATTTGAACATATTATGACTGATCTTAAAAAGTTCAATGCTTGCCTTTAATCATAATACAAAAGGATTAGCTTCTGTATGAAGCCACATATAAAACGTCTTTCGCTTCAGCTCCTCCTGGCTGGCTTCAATCAATTATGAATGACGTCACACTTAAGCGCAGCCGCAGCGTAGGAGGAATACGTTTAACAATAATAAAAAATACTCGAAAATAGTAACGACTTTACTTACCACCAATATATATGCAGGCTTTATTATAAGATATAATAAGAGATAATTGAGTCAATATTCTGAGTACATTACAACAAAAACTACTAGCAAATAGCAATGACTTTACTTTTGAAGGCGTCACACGGATTAATAGAATCTTCCCCTACCTTGAGGGTGTGACAGAGAAATCCCCTTTCCGAGGGGTGATGGTTTTTTGGTTGTCTAACCCGAGGGTCTGCCAAGTGTAAAACAACCAAACAAATCACCCCGAGGGTTGCAGATTTCACTGTTACACCCTCAAGGTAGGGGATGAATATTTTTCTCCTATCCTATTATTTCAGTCACAAATCCACCAACAGTAGTCTGCCATGTCTGTAAGCAAAAACGCATATGGGGTATGAATATCGTCATTCATTTGTGATGACGTCACAATTACCGGTGACACATTTAAATGACGTCACAATTGAACACTTGCTAATCGGCACGACTCTATCTCCCCCTAAGGCGTGACAAGCTGATCTTTCTGGTCAAAACGGGAGACACACCTATGAAGGGTGGGAGAAAATAATATCAACTATTTCAAGCGAACTACTATCAGAGGAATGCGATTATACCGAGTTTGGTAGGAATGCAAGACAGCTTGTTATTGTCCGTTGAGGCGACAATCAGTTGGACACAGTACATTGTGTTTACTCTCCACTCTTTCCTACATTATCTTAACTCTGAGTGAAGTTTTGGATACACCTTCTGTTATCTATATAGGTCTCATATATGATAACAACAGTATGATCCAATAAGGGCATTGGATCCAAACAAAAGATTTTCGTTAGATTGGTTTGGTTTTACTGTTTAACGTCCTTTTGACAGCCAAAGTGATGTACGGACGCGCCTCCATGTGTGCCGTGTATGCGTGCATGTGTGAATGTGTGCTGGAAACAGGGTATGTTGATGTAATTGCCTCCTTGTGATAGTGCAAATCTGATTCCGACTTCATAGTGCTATCTCACTTAAACTATGCCGAAGGCACCGATCAAAGCATCCGCCCGGTCACATTATACTGACAACGGGTGAACCAGTTGTTGCAATTACCTTTAATGCTGAACATTAATCAGTGATTAACAACTACCATTTTTAAAGCCTTTGGAATGTCCCGACCTGGGGACACAACCCATTGCCTTTCTCACCTTGGTGAACGCTCAACATTAAAGCCAAAAGTGAGGTATTGCCAAGCAAGGCGCTAGGAAATAACGGTGGCTAGAAGTAGACAAAAAAATAAATATCCCACACATTGCAATGGGGGCAGCAGGTTTATGTAGGTCGCTTTTACGTCCCCAATTAGAGGGCACAAAACAAATCCCTATTTTTGCAAGCTGGTTCACCCGTTGTCAGTATACCCTTCATAGGTGTGTCTCCCGTTAGTCGCCTCTTACGATACGTGCAGTGTGTAACAGCAGGTGTATTCTTTTCTCGATCCTCGACCTGCATTGGCTATTTTCGTTGGTTAAAAAATAACTAAAATAGATATATAAGCATTGAAATAATAACGAAGATAAACAAAGTCACTGTTTATCTTTGTTATATGTTGTTATATAGAAGTGTTCATTTTTCTGTCTTGAAAAAGGGATGAATTGCCCTAAAAAATTGACAAATTCCGTTGCCTGCACCGTCGTTATTACTTCTTTGCCTACCGTTTTTTCATATGGGTACAATGATGCTGAGCCCTTGGAAATCTATTACTACGGTACTATCACTGCATATTAGTAGAGTCAATTGATACATTACAATTGATCATTTTGACGTCACTTACTTGGCAGCCAGTTTCCACTTCCCTCCAGAGATACCAAAGGTGCTTCCACAGTTAAACCCCAGCCAGCCCCACCTGTACAGGAAATGACGGAAGAGGCGCATTTTATCATGTAAATAAAACAACTACTTACGAAGTCAAAGTGATATATAATTAATTAAGCTTGTTCTTATACCTATTTTATTATTTTACTACTCAAAATATTGATATTCATGTATGATTTTAATATCTCGTTTCAGAAATGTATATTGTCTAATGTGCTATATATTATATTTTATACGCATACGTATTTGAAAAAAAAAGTTAATTTTTCAAGAAAACAATAATTTGACCTGTATTCATATTAGTTAAAGCTTAGTTTGAAATGTTTAAATGCTCTTTTATAAGAAATAAAATGAATGAAAAGGAATCTGAAACAAGCAAAACCATCCTTTGAATATATGTTTTGAATAGGTAAGAAAATTGACAAAACAAAAAGTGATCCTTTAAGTTCTAATAAGTTCTATTATGTATCAGGGTATTTGCGTGCTTTGATTTTGTGAACGAACCAAAGCATGAAGGTTCCCAGAAGTGAGTTGACAGGGTTCCCCATAGGTAAGGATTCTGTTCCATGGTCATACCGTCCTGACCTTGGTTTGAGCATGACTGCTGCCACTAATGCAGAACCACCACCGATTAAGTGTACAGCGCCGGCACCAGCAATGTCTACGACGCCTAGTTTGCGTAGGAAGCCAATATCGTCCCACAGCCAATGAGCTGGTATACAGTACACCACAGTATTAACGCAGCTAAAGATGATGTACGAACACAGTTTAGTTCGCTCCGCCATCGCACCAGACACAATAGTAGTAGCGGTGGTGGCGAAAGAAAGCTGGAACACAAACGTAGAAAATATGACTCCCATCTGATCATCGTCAGCGTCGACGAAAAAGTTCCCCACGCCACAGAACATGTTTGCACCTTGGTCCTTTCCGAAACTGAGGCCGAACCCAAACGACCAATACGTCAAACCACCAAAAATGACGTCAGCCGCGTTCTTTACCATTATGTTGACCTCGTTTTTATTAGTCACAGCTCCCGCTTCGAGCAAACCAAACCCTGTAACGGTAAGTTTGTACATTAAAACATGATACAGACATATATTTCCACATTCCAACGCCAAAGTATATAATAGCAAAGCTTTTCCTTATTTTTCGCTGTGGACACATATCTTTGTTGAAGAGTTGCCTTTTGAATCTTAATAAAAAAAATCGAGACTGTGCTGTAAATGAGTTAAGGAGTAACATTAAGTTAAGATATATCTCACTTTTATGAGATGTTCGTGCGTGCCATTTTCAGCACTAGCATATCATATTAATCATATCTCGCGTTATTACAGTCGTTCAAAGTTTTAATTTATTGTTAACAAAAATGGAAATAAAAAATGGAACAAAATAGTCATTTTTATACTTTATCGACGTTATCCTGGAATTATAAATACTTTAAATAATCCGTATAAAATGAGAGATGAATACTTTTATAGGAAATGACTCTAAGCAATACTCAGAAAAACAGTAGAACTCTTCCTTGTGATTATAACCAATGCAGGGGTACCATGTACCTTAATAATGAAAGGAACAATATCCTATATACTGTAAACTATTATCGCCCCACGAAGTTTCCATCTTCTGGCATTTGATGACAATTCCGTTAATGTTGAACTAACTATCCGGTTCTTTTAATAGCATCTAATTGTATCTTTAAAAATTAGCCCTACCTGCAATGGCATAAAGAACGAAATAAAACAGAAAAGATATCCCGGATCACAGTACAATATGGAACATCTGAGCAACAGTTTTGTTATCTTTTATCAAATATATTTGTAAAATCTGTAAGTACATGGTTTTAGTTCTTCACCTACAATATTTAAAGTCTTCACCTACAATATTTAAAGTCTCCACCTACAATATTTAAAGTCTCCACCTACAATACTTAAAGTCTCCATCTACAATACTTAAAGTCTTCACCTACAATATTTAAAGTCTTCACCTACAATACTTAAAGTCTCCACCTACAATACTTAAAGTCTCCACCTACAATATTTAAAGTCTCCACCTACAATACTTAAAGTCTCCACCTACAATATTTAAAGTCTCCACCTACAATACTTAAAGTCTCGACCTACAATATTTAAAGTCTCCACCTACAACACTTAAAGGCTTCACCTTTAATGGATTAAGGTATATCAATTGTAGCTATACAATTTAACTCCACGTGCAGCCCATATGCAAATGATGACTGAATAGAACGATGTCACTGTAAGTTTGGTTTGTTTTAATGAAACTAAAATGAAGCATTTAAGTTGTTATGATCAAATCGATTGAAGATCGGAACACTTTCTACATATATTGTAGAAGGTTAATGAGGTGTCAGATATAGAACTAGATCAATATGAGATACTGTGAGAGTCAATTACCTCCTCGTCAGAGTAATTGATCATTGATACGAGATAGTATAAAGTCACAGTAACAATACATTGTTATAGTTGTGGGAATACCATTTCCCTTTCATATCGTAACAATTGATAGTAGGTACGTGGGTAGGTTGGTAGGTAGATACGAGAAATTCTTTGGTCACAATAATTAATACACAGTAATAGGGTAGAGTAGGACAGGTCCCCTCGTCAAAGTAATTGATTATAGACGTGAGATATCCTTTTGTCCCCTCGTCATAGTAACTGATAAAAGACGTGAGATAGCTTTTTGTCTCCTCGTCATAGTAACTGATAATAGACGTGATATATCCTTCTTTTCCCTCGTCATAGTAACTGATAATAGACGTGAGATATCCTTTTGTCCCCTCGTCATAGTAACTGATAATAGACGTGAGATATCCTTTTGTCCACTCGTCATAGTAACTGAAACTAGGCGTGATAAAGTCTTTTGTCCCCCCGTCATAATAACTTATAAAAGGTGGGATTTAGCCTTTTGTCCCCTCGTCATAGTAACTTAAACTAGGCGTGATAAAGCCTTTTGTACCCTCGTCATAGTAACTTATAATAGGGGTGATATAGCCTTTTGTCCCCTCGTCATAGTAACTGAAACTAGGCGTGATATAGCCTTTTGTCCCCTCGTCATAGTAACTTATAATAGGTGTGATATAGCCTTTTGTCCCCTCGTCATAGTAACTTATAAAAGGTGTGATATAGCATTTTGTCCCCTCGGCAAAGTAATTGATAATAGGCGTGAGATAGCCTTTTGTCTTCTCGTCATAGTAACTGATAATAGACGTGAGATATCCTTTTGTCCACTCGTCATAGTAACTGAAACTAGGCGTGATATAGCCTTTTGTCCCCTCGTCATAGTAACTTATAATAGGTGTGATATAGCATGTTGTCCACTCGTCATAGTAACTGAAACTAGGCGTGATAAAGCCTTTTGTCCCCTCGTCATAGTAACTTATAATAGGTATGATATAGCCTTTTGTCCCCTCGTCATAGTAACTTAAACTAGGCGTGATAAAGCCTTTTGTCCCCTCGTCATAGTAACTTATAATAGGTGTGATATAGCCTTTTGTCCCCTCGTCATAGTAACTTATAATAGGTATGATATAGCATGTTGTCTACTCGTCATAGTAACCGATAATAGACGTGATATATCCTTTTGTCCACTCGTCAAAGTAACTGAAACTCAGCGTGATATAGCCTTTTGTCCACTCGTCATAGTAACTTATAATAGGTGTGATATAGCATGTTGTCTACTCGTCATAGTAACCGATAATAGACGTGATATATCCTTTTGTCCACTCGTCAAAGTAACTGAAACTCAGCGTGATATAGCCTTTTGTCCACTCGTCATAGTAACTTATAATAGGTGTGATATAGCATGTTGTCTACTCGTCATAGTAACCGATAATAGACGTGATATATCCTTTTGTCCACTCGTCAAAGTAACTGAAACTCAGCGTGATATAGCCTTTTGTCCACTAGTCATAGGAACCGATAATAGACGTGAAATATCCTTTTGTCCACTCGTCATAGTAACTGATAATAGGTGGGATATAGCCTTTTGTCCCCTCGTCATAGGAACCGATAATAGACGTGAAATATCCTTTTGTCCACTCGTCATAGTAACTGATAACAGGTGTTATATATCCTTTTGTCCACTCGTCATAGTAACTGATAATAGGTGTGATATAGCATTTTGTCCACTCGTCATTATAACTGATAATAGGCGTGATATAGCCTTTTGTCCACTCGTCATAGTAGCTGATAATAGACGTGAGATAGCCTTTTGTCTCCTCGTCATAGTAACTGATAATAGACGTGAGATATCCTTTTGTTTCCTCGTCATAGTAACTGATAATAGACGTCAGAAATCCTTTTGTTCCCTCGTCATAGTAACTGATAATAGGCGTGATATAGCCTTTTGTCCCCTCGTCATAGTAACTGATAATAGACGTGAGATGGCCTTTTGTCTCCTCGTCATAGTAACTGATAATAGACGTGAGATATCCTTTTGTTCCCTCGTCATAGTAACCGATAATAGACGTGATATATCCTTTTGTCCACTCGTCAAAGTAACTGAAACTCGGCGTGATATAGCCTTTTATCCACTCGTCATAGTAACTGATAATAGGTGGGATATAGCCTTTTGTCCCCTCGTCATAGTAACTGATTGTTCCCTCGTCATAGTAACTGTGATAGGTGTGATATAGCCTTTAGTCCCCTCGTCATAGTAACTGATTGTTCCCTTGTCATAGTGACTGATAATAGGCGTAATATAGCCTTTTGTCCCCTCGTCATAGTAACCGATAACAGATGTGTACGAGAATTATGTGTGTACAGCAAAGGTATTGCCTTTAGCGTGGGCACAGTGTACACTTCATCGGGTTGTATTGTCGGGAGATTCAACGTGTATTGTATATTAAAGAAATCGATCCTGCCTTTGTCGCAGATGAATGCTTTTCATAAAATATTGAATATTTTCAGGACGGTCACGGTTTAATCTACCCAAAACAAGTCGCCAGTCCTTTGAATAATTAAAAGCAAATGTATTGGATGTTTGTGTATTGCCTTGCAGTCATATTGGGGATATCAAATTATAACATGAGATGTATATTAACATAGAAAATCTATATCACAACATAACGACGTCAGACGAAGGTTAAATCAAAGTCGGGAATAGGTCGCAAATAGCAAATATATAGGTAGAGACTATCAGGAATGAATGTAGTCAACAGGCTTAAACCACAGTAGATAAAAACGACATAAGTTATAATATGATGGGATAGTTAATTGATCCCTTTTTACATACCAAGTTGTGTCTGAGCGATATAAAATATGTCATTGTGTCGCCATTTTTAATTGTAGCAGGTTTACTTTTGCTGTACAACATTATAATGTTTAATATGATAAAAATAATATGCAACAAACTGGAAAAATATACATTATTGATATTTTTTTTTACGTATTTAGTGTAACTGAAGCACTTTTGATTTTTGACCCCGAAAAAGGTAAAAAAAAAATAACACAAATGATAATGGGACAAAAAAAGTAGCACATGGACCCCCCATTTTTGTGGATGTTTTAGAAAGAGAAACACATATCAAAAAAAGTTTAATAGCAGAACTTTTTATATCAAGCGTTTAATCTGCAAAATATGGTAAACAAAATAGTATTTTTTCATTAACAAATAGGGGGTAGGGGTAACTAAAATCGGCTTTCTCAGTTAAAAGAATAAGATTAAGAAATTTTACATCCATAATTTGAGAGAAAATTCTACAAACATTCATACATATCTAATGACACACTTGGAAGAAATTGTATGAAAATGGTATAAACCCAAAAATCACCTAAAATCACAATTTGTGTTAAATTGGTATCTTTTACCGATCATAGCACAAAAGCGAACATATAAGAAAAAAAGTTTAATACAGGAATTTTTTGACTTCTCAGAGATATACATCCTTAAGAAATTTTCATATTACGGCCGATTGTCTCCATTGTAAAGTACCAGGAGATGCTGTGTTCTGTCGACCAATAGGCAATACGTAATCATGGTTTACTACCTGTGAAGCTTCAATCAACACTGAGGTAACTTAATCCTGACCTGATTACC